AGTGGAATAAAACTTCTGCAACACGGAGCCTAGAATTAGTGGATGAGAGATTACAGCAGCCTATCCTACTATGGTCAAACTGTTGCCCTGTACTAGGAGCTGGAGGAAGAGAGAGCTCCATGTTATTGACTGCACCCAATTAGAATAGAACTTCCATCATGCTAAACTGGGGGGTAGGGATATGTTGACAAAAAGAGTCAAACTCTGTAAAATATTTGAATATATTTATTCTGAGCCAAATATGAGTGACCATGGCCTGTGACACAACCCTCAGAAGGTCTTGAGAACATGTGCCCAAGATGGTCAGAGTGCTGTTAGGTTTTATTCATTTTAGAGGGGCGTGAGACAGCAATCAAATACATTTAGGGTATACATTGGTTTGGTTCAGAAAGGTGAAACAACTTGAAGTGGGAGCTTCCAGGCTACAGGTAAATTTTTTAATTTCCTGGTTGACAATTGGTTGAGTTTGTTTAAGAACGTGGGATCAATAGAAAGGAAGTGTTTAGGTTATGATAAAGGATTGTGGAGAACAAAGTTTTATTGTGCAGAGGAAGCTTTTAGCTAGCAGGCTTCAGAGAGAATAGGTTGTAAAATGTTTCTTATCAGACTTAAACTCTGTGTTGATGTTAATACCAAAGAGGTATAATAAGGCATATTCGACCCCCATTTTCCATCATGGCCTGAAACAGTCTTTCAGGTTAAATTTTTAAAGAGCCCTGGCTGAGGAGGAAATCCATTCAGATGGTTGGGGAGCCTTAGAATTTTATTTTTGGTTTACATGTTCCCCCTTTTGGCCAATATTTGCCAGAGGAAACATTAAAGGCCAGCAAATCTTTGTTTTGTCCCATAGCATTGTCAGGGTGGCATGGTTGCCTGCACCAGGTCCATCCTGTCTCTTGGGCTCCTTATGGCCCAGGGTTTTAAGAGTCAAAAGACTTATAGCTGATTGATTGCTCTAGGCCAGATAGGAATGGATGTGGACAGGCATTTATTACCTCTTAAAATTATTATTTTAAGTAAAAAGCCAACAAACAAAAACAAAAAAGCAAAGTTACAAAACTGACTTATTTTTAACTTCTATGCATTGAGTTGCTGTAAGCTTGGTTTTAGTTATAGATTTGTAGCAATTCTTTATACAAAACATAAGCAT